AGCTTTTGGGGGAGTGACAATAAGAAACGTCAAAAAGATGAAAAAGCATACTACAATATTACAATATTGCCATTGGCAGCCCCCCATACAAAAGTACATGTTTAGCCCACCCATGGCACACACTTGGACGTTGGAGTTGCGGCTGAAGGCACAGTGGATGGCACTTGATGGTGCGACGAAGAGAACCTTGTTACAAGGGGGCATCCCAAAGCCAAAAGACAACACCATAGAGATCAGCAGCTCCCACTATGTGTCATCACTCCTAAACGCAGACCGGAGTTGGAACCAAACTATATTGTCCCAGCTCTTTGATGAACCAACAACATGTTCACACATTCTCCAAATCACTCCCAACACAGATTCCTTGCAAGATGATATCTTGTGGAAAAGTAATTCTTTGGGGATTTACACAGTGAAATGAGCATACAAATCTTTTGAATCTCAACACCCATCATCCTCCCAAACATACTTCCCCTGGATGAAACTATGGAAATTGAATGTCTCATACAGATGTATAATATCAGTCTGGAAAATGCTATGGAATGGACTTCTCACCCGGTACAAATGTCGCTTTTGTACATCATGTACCGAATTGGCTCAACATATTTTCCTTACATGCTCATTCACAAAAGTTGTTTGGTGTGAAGCATAAGTTGGACTTGGACTGAACCCAGACGACATCGAAGAGGAGGAAGACTTTTTTTTTTTTATCTCCATTAAAAATTGGTGGGAAAAAGTGAAAAGACACTTACCTTCACATGAGCCAAACCAGCTCATTGGGAAAGGTTGCATAATACTGTATATTCTACGGCGGGCTACGAATGAAATCATTTTCAAACATACACACATCACTCCTCATGATGTCTTACTTTGAATGGGCAGTTATCTTCGACATCAGGAATAAAGGACATCAATAGCAAGGCACATACATCCAACAAATCTAACCAGGAGTCCTTCCACCTCTTATTCATTGATGGATCCTTTGACTTACAATCGGGTCTTGTAGGACGGGCTTTCATCATCGAATGCCCCGGTGGAGGCACAACCAACACTTGCTGGAGGAGAGCCATGTTGGGCCATCGGCAGTTATGATGCAGAAATTAAAGCCCTAATTCAAGGGCTAAAAGCAGCCAAACAGATGGAAATATCAAATTTAAAACTTTACAGTGACTCTTTGCAGTTGATCGAGTTTTTGCAGGATAGAAGCCAACCAGGGAAGTGGATCGAACATCTACATAGAGCTCAACTAACTCCACAAATGTACAGTTATCACTTATCAGTTCCTTAATGAAACGTTTTGGCTGCTATTCTTTTGCAAAAAGAAAAATAGTGGTCAGTGTATACCTACACTGACCACTCCAGTCCTTCTCATTCATTCATCCATGCATAGTTCTCCTAATGCTACACACCTATCACTAAAGCCCATCTCAGTAAGTCAGTAGGCTCATATGTCAGGCTGATATGACAACTCGTGAATTGTGACCCGCCCAAGAGGAATCAGCGGAGCCCACTTCAATAGAACTAAAATGTTTGTCTGATAGTCTGCACTTGAGATCCTGACAATTAAAGCAGAGACTAGCTAGATATAGCTAGATAAAGAGGCAAAGTAAAGGACTTATTTGATTGATAAAGAGGCAAAGTAAAGCACTGGTAACTGATTTGATTGATTTTAGCATCAACGGGCTAGATTTAAAACCTTATGGGAGAATGACCAATCAGCCCAGATCAGAATTTTATAACCCCAAAGTATAGGGGGAATGCATCCTGACCATGAATTGATGCCAAATTCACGGGCAGGATGTGTTTATTGGGGGAGAGGGCTTCTTCTCCGAAACCTTATTTGCTTTTTCGGTGGAGGTGTGTTCAAGTTACTGGTTGAGTGTTTTGTTCTTAATCTCTTATTAGGGATCTTTGCCATTTCGGGTAGGTTCTCATAAGATGGTGTTTGGTTCTATTGTCTATTTATCAGAAAATCAGCACTTGTTCAGTGCCCAAATAGGTATTTCTGCAAATTGATTTTGAAATTTTGTTTGGTTAAGTCATTTATCAGTAAAATGTTTTATTCAGGTCGGATTATATGGGTTTCCTCGTCCGAGAAAATTTTTCCGATGGTAAGCAAAACTTATCCTAGACTTTCTTTTTCTCTCTTATTTTTTTATCAAACCAAACATGCTTAAATAACACGATAATAAAAAAAAGGGAGAAGTACCAATCAGCCCAGATCAGAATTTACTAGGCCCAAAGTACAGGGGAATGCATCTGACCGTGAACTGATGCCAAATTTACGGGCAATATGTGGTTTATAGGGGGGAGAGGGCTAGTTGTAGAGGAGCTGGAATTCAGAATTCTGCACGTATGTTTCCATATTTTTCCCTAAAAAAAATAGGAAAAATTCTACTTTAGTATCCTAAACTTTTGGGTAGAGAGTAGTGTCAAGTCATTACCCCAATTTTCAAACATGTCTGCAGTATCCAGACTTTCAAAAATTATAAAATTGGTCTAAAACTATTAACCGACGTTAAGTTTATATAAAAAGGCAAAAATATCCTTCACCTGTTATCTTCTGATTCCTATCGGATCTCTAACCACCGGCTCCCTCCATTTCAGTAGTTGCAATTATTGGGTCCCGCATCATTGTCGCCTGTGGTACCTCCGAATTTGAGGACGAGAGAGCATCTTCCATCTCTTTTACTCTTTTACGCTTCTTTCTTATTACTCTCAACTTTTAAACACAAATTTTCCTTTTTCTTTTTATTTTTCCACAGGTGATGACCTCCAATAACTCGAGGGTTCCGTAGCCCAGGTGATGATATCCATGAATATCTCCTGTTGAAAGGAGTTGAAGCAGTTGTCATACATGGAGGCAAGGACCAAGAAGAAAGAGAATATGCAATGGCATCTTTAAAGCAGGGAAGAAGATGTCTTGGTAGCAACTGATGTCAATCCGAAGGGTATGGATTTCCTGATATTCAGCATGTCATCAATTATGACATGACTGTAGAAATTGAAAACTATGTCCATAGGATGATAGGATTGGACGAACAGGAAGATGTGGAAGGACAGGAATAGCAACAACATTTATAAACAAGAACCAAAGCGAGACTACACTTTTGGACCTGAAGCACCTATTGCAAGAAGCCAAGCAGAGGATCCCTCTGATGCTGGCTGAACTTAATGATCCAATGGAAGAGAGAGGTGTAAAACGCCCGGCTGGCACGACACGGCCCGTAGGTGGCCCATGCAAAGTGTGGGCTATGCCGCACCAACCAGTGGGCCATCCCGGGACATTCCGTCCTCCCCTGTGATAACTTGGGGAGTCGGCCCTGCATGGCCCACGGACCTAAAACCGCAGGCCCAGCATAGCCCACACGATCATGCTGGGCCTGACACAGCCCGCGTGCCGTTGTGCCAGGCCAGGCCACGGGCGGCATGGCACGATTTACACCGATGCCATCACTAATGCCACTGGAGTGAAGGGTTGTGCATATTGTGGTGAGCTTGGCCATTGTATCCGATTCAAGGAGAGGCTATTTTGGTTAAGGGGGCTACCGAGGAGAAATCCGACCTCTGTGTTTTGTATGTTTGGATGTGAAAGCCTGTTTTTCAATCAGGAGTTCTGTATGTCCAACTCTGTAATTTCACGTCCTCTGTTATTCAGTCTTAAGGTAGAAGACAATGAATAATGTCTTATTTGTAAGAATAATTTTGATATTTTAAAAAATTTTAAATTACATATGTCATCATATGATAGGATAACTGATGATGAATACTGACTTAAGACACTACCTCAAAGTTTAGGATACTAAAATGGAATTTTCCCAAAAAAATACATGTTTTTCAATAACAAAAGTTCAAAATTTAACCAAATTGAGGTTTGCCTACAATCGTTCCATGGGAAAGAATCTGGATTTTCGAGGTTTTGGATCCTCCAATCCACGTACGCTGCCTTGCATTTATGGTTTAAAGTATTGATACGTAGCAATACTCATGCTCAGATTTTTACTTTCAGGTTTCGACATTTGAACCAGAGATGGCCTAACTGCCTCTTTTCCATATCATAGTTGAACCCTTGACAATATTACTATATTAGTGGGTTCAAAAACCGATACATAATACACATTGAACCTTGCTTCCATTAGTGGTTCCTTCAATAAACATTGGCTGTTCAAAATTTTTCCTTTCAATATGGAGCTTTCCCAAAAGTGGACAAAGCCAGGATTAGATAAGGGGATTAACATAGTCCCAGGCTTGGCCCAGCCCACACCCCAAGAAAAACTATCTAGGAATCTGCCAACCACAAGAAAAACAATGAAGGAATTCCAACATGTGAAAAGTTTTGCCAGGAGCCAAAAAGGACTCTCTGAATTCCACTTGTAGAAAGAATTTTGGCCAAAAAAAAAACATTGCAGGACTGAAAAATAAGCCCACTTTCATGGGTAGGGTTTATATAATTATGATAGAGAACTGCAGGCCAGGCAACGGACTCAGATACAGAGCGATTGCATCTCTTAAGAAACAATGCCAATACCATCATGATCTGGATGTAAAATGATAAAGCAACACAGTTGTAGTAAATGAAAACAACTAATTCACATTCAGAATGGCGATTATGCCTACATTTTAATGGGTTTAAACTAATTATATTACACATCTCAAACTAAAATACATCCCACCATTCTCATCACCAGAATTCAGTTACCTTCTCAAGGAAAAGAATAATGAGTCTAAACTAATTATATCACACTATCCAAATTATAAGAAATCTTACCAGGAGACTTGGAAGATTTGACATCCTGATCGCAAAAACAAGTATCAGAAAACTGGAAACAAATCATAACATAGGAAAAAATTAAACAAGCAATCACCAAATGAAGTGGAATTGCTTATATGCAAATGCAACAACTGAGTGGATCAAAAAGAGGAAGCAGGCTGCAAGTTGGGACAACTCTCTGGTTCTGCCTGAATGTCAAAAAAGTCCTGAAGAGCAATCATTTTCATAGTGCTGCACATCACACTTTTTATTGCCTCCACAGTTGCCAAGGCTCCAGCAACTGTAGTTATGATAGGGACCTTGTATGCAAGAGCCATCCTCCGTAATTGTCGGCCATCGATCTGATCAAGTGCATCACCCGAACTTGTCATCACAATCAACTGTATCTGTCCATTAGAAACCATATCACCAGCATGGGGGCGTCCCTCATGCAGCTTCAGCACCCTCTCTACCGGGATACCCTCTAACTCTAGCACATGTGCTGTGCCAGATGTTGCAACGATCCTGAAACCAAGCCCCAAAAAGGCACGGGCCAAGTTAGCAAGATGTGGCTTTGTCAAGTCATTTAAGCTGAGGAACACAGTGCCTGAGAGCGGTAGTTTCTGCCCTGCAGCAATCTGAGCCTTGGCAAAGGCAACTGGGAAATCAAAATCAATACCCATGACCTCACCAGTGCTACGCATCTCGGGGCCAAGCAGCACATCACAGCCTTGAAACTTCTCAAATGGAAGCACAGCTTCCTTGACTGAGACATGGGCTGGGATAACCTCCTTGGTGAATCCAAGGTCATGAAGAGACTTTCCTGACATGACAAGAGAAGCGTACTTGGCCAGTGGGTGTCCAATTGCTTTGGACACAAAAGGGACCGTCCGTGATGCACGGGGGTTGGCCTCAAGCAAGAATACCTCCCCAGATGCTGTGATTGCATACTGACAGTTCATGAGTCCGCACACATTTAGCCTCTTAGCCAGCTTTACTGTCCATGACCGAATTGTTTCCAAGCATGACAAGGGGACAGTCTTTGTGGGGAGTGAACAGGCTGAGTCACCAGAGTGGACCCCTGCCTGCTCAATGTGCTCCATGATTCCACCAATCACTACATTCCCATGTGAATCAGCAAGTGAATCTACATCAATCTCAATGGCGTCCGAGAGGTATTTATCAATCAAGACAGGGCGTTCAGGATCCACCTCAACAGCATTCTCAAGATAGGTTACAAGCTTGTCATCACTATAAACAATTTCCATAGCACGCCCACCCAATACATATGAAGGCCGGACAACAACTGGATAGCCTATGTCCATGGCTATAGCCAGAGCATCAGCTTCGCTCTTGGCAATTCCACCTTTTGGTTGTTCAATCTCCAGTTCTTTTAGTATTGCATTGAACCTTTCACGGTCCTCAGCTGCATCAATGGAATCAGGTGATGTCCCCCATATCTTAACATGTCCAGACCCACTAGAGGACACAGGCATGTGCTCATCCAAGTAGCGTTGGATTGGGAGTGCCAGCTTGAGAGGTGTCTGCCCTCCAAACTGTACAATGATGCCATCTGGTCTTTCTAAGTCAATGATGTTCAGAACATCTTCAACTGTCAGAGGTTCAAAGTAGAGCCGATCACTTGTGTCATAATCAGTTGAGACTGTCTCAGGATTAGAGTTCATCATGATTGTCTCAAAACCAGCTTCCTGAGGAGCAAACAGGGATGGAATCAAATATGATTCAAAAATCAACTTAATCTATAAAATCAAAGAAAAATGGCACAACATCAAGGGTTGCATTAGCAGAGGTGGAGCCAGGATTTTTTGTTTGGGGGGATACATAAATGGGGGGCGAAAATATAAGATGGACATCTGATCCAACTGCCACCCCTAGCTCCGTCCCTGTGCATTATTATGACTCGCAGGTTTTCTATTGCATATACTACACTTGTTGATTTAACCTCCAATGATGGGCCCAGTTGGATCAGAGATAAACCCAAATTTAACATTGCATGAAGCCCTAAGTATTCAATGCATGCATCTATTTTGAAAATGGCTAAGTGCCACTATAATAACCTAGATAAGGCATCCATCAGATATACGCATCATCCGGTTTTTTTGATAAGCAAGTACAGTTGTATTTCTTTCATGAGAAGGAGGGCGAGCCACCCTCAAGATCATTACAAAAAAGAGCCTTTACAAGTATATCCTTGTCCCCAGCTATCAAAGAGGAAACCTATATCAGAAAAAATATGATAGAATTCCAACTGTTAAAGAAGCATGGCTATAATAGCATCTCCAATTGAAACAAATCATGGCTAAAATGCTGTTAATAGCCCTATTCCTTTAGAGGTCAATATGAATGAGTATGCACCATATGTGCCAGGAAAAGCAATAATGGCATGGATCACAAATTTCTCAAATCAAAAACCAACAACCCACAAGAAAGTCATAGAGAAGCACAAACCTGAAGGGCAAAAGAAGTATGGCAGCAACAGTAGTCAAATTCAATACCTTGACCTATCCGGTTTGGTCCTCCACCCAAAATCAGAACCTTCTTCCTTTTGGTGGGACTCGATTCACACTCATGATCATAGGACGAGTACATGTATGGAGTATTGGCTTCAAACTCTGCAGCACAGGTATCAACCCGCTTATATGCTGGAGTTACCCCAAGAGATAACCGCCTTGACCTAACTTCTTTCTCGGTTGATTTGGTCGCAAAGGCAATCTGTTTATCACTGAAACCCCTCCTCTTCACTTCATACAGATCATCCTTAGTCAGTTGTGACAAGCTTTGGGTCGATAAGAATTGCTCCACATCTACCAGCTCTTTAAGCTGTGTAAGAAACCATTTATCAATGTAGCTCAACTCATGGATTTCATCCACCTTCATCCCCTTCCTCATTGCTGCATAAATAGAATGCATGCGATCTGGACTAGGGACCCGGAGGCTGTACTTCAACTGTTCAAAATCCCAATCCAGTTCCTTGATCTGTGCACAACCCCATCCAGAGTAGCCACACTCCAGTGATCGAACTGCCTTTTGAAAGGATTCTTGGAATGTACGGCCAAGTGCCATGGATTCACCAACTGACTTCATTTGGGTTGTCAGTATCGGTTGTGAACCAGGGAATTTTTCGAAAGCAAAGCGAGGTATCTAAATGGTCCAAAGAAAAGAAACAAGTTCATAAGGTAAGACACAGCTTCAGGTATATTTCCAAATATGCTTCAGGTAATTGAGAGAGTCAATCACAGAGTTGGTAATACCAAGAATATGGATATGAATGCAAATATATAACCAAATTAAAATGACTTAACATTAAGGAAGACCAATTTATAGAACAGAAACATGAAATAAAAGCCAGATGCAATTCTTAGCCCCAAATGAGGCAGAACATAATACAATTGCATAGCTTGCCAACAAGACAATAAATCAATCAAAGTATGAAGTTATGCCCATCAAACTATTTAGATCTTCGAGGCTAAAGAGCACCTCAAAAGCAATTTGCACAGCAAGGATTCAAGACATGTAGTATACTAATTGCATTCATCCAAATAACAAGGCACACCAAAGCATAGAGTTTTTATACCAAAAGAAAGCATGAACTTTAGGTTTATTTTCCTTGAGAATTAGTTTACTGTATTTTTTACTTTCTTTTTGGAGTATGAATAATGAAAAGTGAGAATTTCCATTTATTTTATCAAGTATAAATTTACCACCTGCTAATATGGTTAGGAGTCCACAAGATTTCAACCAGAAGACAACAATGTATCATTAGTTTGATGTTAATTACATGATTTCAATACTTGGCATTTACCTTTTTTTTTTTGAGAAATGGTAATGGAAACTTCTATTAAAAGAGGGGAAAAGCATTCCCCTAGTCAGAAATACAAGGCCGTAATGCAAGGCAAGGAGAACATCAAAAGGTAGAAGAAATTACAACCCACTAGCACTACCTTGGTGAGGTACAATGAAAGAATCATCCCATAAAATTTTGTGCCAATAAGCTGAAAGGGGAGAGACACTGAAGCCCGTCAAATCCTTGTGAGTGCTTGCCCACAACAATAAAGTTCTTTCCATCCTTCCTATAACTGCATGCAAGTGAGAACTTTTGGTGTTAAAAACCCCTCTCATTACATTCCTTCCATAGAAGCCAGGAAATAACAATAGAGACTAGCTTCCATAGAATGGTCCCTCTTTTACTAAAACCTCAGCACCTCCAAGCTGCAATAAGGGATTCCACATCCTTTGGTAACACAGTGCTTACCCCGAAAAGATTAAAGAAGTCATCCATGTGCAGAAGGAAAACTGAAAATGCACCAGCAAGTGACGCACTGACTCCTCATTGTTACTACAGAGCTTAAAGTTGTTAACTACATTCATCCCTCATTGTTACCACAGTACTCAGCATTTATGATACCCACCTGTACATGCCTAGCATACCTTATTGTATTATTGAATACAATAATGGATACTGCATCAATACTTGTAAATGTACACTTTTAAAATACAGCATGGATACTGGAAATTGCATTAACACTTTAAAAAATGTAAAAGTGATGTTTTAACAAATTATATTATAAGAACATCTGCATTTGTTAGAAATTTTATTAAATTTAGTAAGAGGCATGTCTTCATAAATGACATTTAGCTTCAAAAACTAAACATGTATGCATGATATGAGCATATACATTGGATTTCCATGATCCATACCCTTATCCATGTCAAAATTTTAGGAAAGGAGAGTTGTATCCCTGTTCCTGTATCTGTGTCTGTGTCCATACCAGTATCCCAGCATCATAACTTGGCATTGCCCTCGCTTGACAGCCAAGGGAACATGTACACATGTGACACCCCCATGGGTATTTTAAATGTCAATCTTAATCTTGGCTGCATCCTATGGATTTTCCTGTTTATTATCAGCCATCCTACGCAATTTCTTTATTTTCCCCAATTCTAATAACTCTTCTAGATTCCTGTTTTCCCTTGTTGTACATGCAAATGCAGCCTATGTTAAAACTAACATTATGTCACTTATGAACAAAAGGAGTCCCTCAATGGCTAATGCATTTTTGTTCTATAAAGTGATAAATCCATACTCCATCTTAGTATCTTACATATGCAATATTATATGGAATTATGGAGAATCCATCAGAGGCTTCGCTTAATGTATAAAAATTAAAATCACACGGTCACGAGCATATGAACATTATTGGACTCGTATAACAAGAAAGAATAAAATGAACAGAGTTAACTGAGATTTTGGATACAAAATGACAGTTAAGTGTATATTTGGATGAAAAGTTAGAAACACAATACATTCTGATTTTTTGAATGATAGACAGGGTCCGTTATTTTGTCTATGTTACCTATTGTTGGCTAACCCAAAACAAATTACCGAAGTAAATTAACTTCCACAAACTTTTAGTAGTTGTCAGTTTGATTACTACATTGAAAGCTAATTTAATCCAATGCCAAGTCAATACTAAACCATATAAATTAACAAGAACCAAGAAATGGTAAGGGTGCAACTATAGGCAAAATAACTGGCAATGTACTGGAAAATACAGGATAAAGGAAGAAAGGTTACTTGCCTTTGTCACCACATAATCAATTGAAGGTTCAAAACTAGCTGGAGTTTTCTTTGTAATGTCATTAGGAATCTGATCCAATGTGTAGCCAACGGATAACTTTGCAGCCATCTTTGCTATAGGAAACCCAGTAGCCTTGGATGCCAAAGCCGAAGACCTTGAAACTCTAGGATTCATTTCAATCACCATTACTTCCCCATCTTTGGGATTGACAGCAAACTGGACATTTGAACCCCCACATTCTACTCCAATTTCCCTTATGATCGCAACCGAGTAATCCCTAAGGCGTTGGTACTCTTTATCTGTCAGGGTCTGAGCAGGGGCAACCGTTATGGAGTCTCCTGTATGGACCCCCATAGGATCAATATTTTCAATAGAGCATATAATAACAACATTGTCTGCCAAGTCTCTCATAACCTCAAGCTCGTACTCCTTCCATCCCAACAGGGATTTCTCAACCAGCACCTGAGATGTCAAACTGGCTGCAAGCCCAGACTTGCAAATTGACTCGAATTCCTCTCTATTGTAAGCGATCCCACCTCCGGTGCCACCCAACGTGAATGCAGGCCGAATAATCAGAGGGAACTCCCCAATAGAATCGGCAATCTCGAAACACTCCTCTAAGGTGGTACCTATCCCTGAAGGAGGTGTCTTGATCCCAATATTCTCCATTGCTTGTTTAAACAAATCTCTATCTTCTGCTTTCTTGATCGCGCCCAGCTTTGCTCCGATCAACTCAACGCCGTACTTCTCCAACGCCCCGGTTTCTGCCAATGCTACAGCAAGATTGAGAGCTGTCTGTCCTCCCATGGTGGGCAGGAGAGCGTCGGGCCTCTCTTTCTCAATGACCTGCTCCACTAGCTCAGGGGTCATTGGGCCGATATAGGTCTTATCCGCCATGTCAGGATCGGTCATGATTGTAGCTGGGTTGGAATTTATGAGAACCACCTCGTAGCCTTCCTCCTTGAGAGCCTTGCAAGCTTGTGTGCCCGAGTAGTCGAACTCGCAAGCTTGTCCGATGACAATGGGTCCAGCGCCGAGTATCATGATCTTCTTTAGATCAGTTCGCTTCCCTACCGGAGCACCACCGAACGCGCCATTCGTCGAATCGTTTAGGGTGACAGCCAAGCCATGTTGGCAACGAAGAGAACTAGGCCGATTAGCCGGGTTGGTAGACCAAGGTAATGGCCGCCAGAGATGGAGCTTAAAAGACGCGCCATTTTTCTTTTTCCCGGACTTCTTCCAGTACACGAAAGGAACACCGCCTACTTTCAGTAAGTTCGATTGGGATATGGAAGACAACGAAGACGAAACTAACGTTGCAGAAAAGCTTTCGCAGGAATTCATGCAAAAACCCATCTCTCTCTCTCTCTTACCAGACAAACTGAAAGCGTAGGAAGGGTCTAGGGTTTAAGACTCGACAGAATACAGAAGAAGAATGACAGTAACCAGTGATAATAATTTAATAATAAACAAGACAAGATATGTCTCTCGCAATTAGTTAGTTGCCGAAAAATATAAAAGTAATCAATGGAGAATGAAAGAGACGAGATATAGTTGAAGCTCTCCTTCGCTTTATTTAAAGAGAGAGGGAAGAAGAATAGTCAACCATTTTAGGGTTTTGGTTGCATATCGAAAGCATTTTAACCGAATGAATTTGCAGAGCTTCTTTGGTGTCCGATTTTTAATTAAATAAAATTTTATTTTTCTGGTCGAGTCGCTCTCACCCCACTCACTGAAGTCGCTCTCCCTCCCCACTTCCTCTCCGATTCTCTATAGCTTTTTCAATCTTTGCTTGAGGGAAAAAATTAGAAAATTCCCAATCATTATACTGTACTTTGGCTGGAGTTATATGGTCTCCGAACTTTAATTAAAATGGAATAATTCAGTATCCAAAGATTTTAAAAGTCAAAAATGTCTTTCAAATGTCATATTCTCTTTATCAATTATCTAAACATTGATAAAAACTCAACAGTCCCAAATTTTAGCTTCTTCTATTTAAAAAATTTGATGAATATTTATAAGAATCTAGAATTTGGGACTATTCAATTTATTGTCAATGTTTGGATGATTGATAAAGAGAATTAAACGGCATTCTTAAAGCATTTTTTACTTTTCAATTGTCACTTAACGATCGATTAACGGACTGGTTAACAGAAGGTACTGGATTGTCACATTTTAAGAGTTTGGGTACTAGATTGTCACATTTTGAAAGTTCGGGTACTGAATCATCGCACTTTTAAGTTTGGGGACCAAATTGTCACTCGAGCCAAAGTACAGGGTACTGATCAAGAATTTTCCCAAAAAAGGTGATATTTAAATGTGAAACACGGAGTAGATTAAAATAAACTCCAGATCTCCTCTCCTGCCCACGTCTACCCACAACACACTACCCCCCATGCATTGGTAACACCGTGGCTGCATTAACATGTGGTTAGACATGGATAGAGTTATTATGGCAGAGAAATGGGATCTTCTGCCAACAATGTACATTCCAACCCTCTACCAAAATCATCTCACACTACACATCTTAACTTGAGACTCGAACCCGCCATGTATGAGATGTACTGTGTGAGATGATGTCAGTAGAGGGTTGGAACATGTTTTGTTGGTAGGTGATCTGGTCTCTCACTATGATACCGGAATAACATGGTATTATTGGTTTCTGGTATCATAGATTTTATCTTGAAGTTGTGTTTGATTTGAAGGAAAAAGTAGAGAATAGAGGTGTAAAACAAGTCGGGCTAGTTCGTGGGACAAGCCTTAGGCCATGTCGAGCCGTGGCCCAGGCCAAAGCTATTTATTTAAAAAAATTGAAAAAAAACTTAAAATTTTAATTTTATATGAATTTTGATGTATAAAATTGCTTATATATACAATAATTAAATAAATTCATATAATAAAATTGAAAGCAATTATTTATTTTATTAATATATTATATACTATAGATTATTATATAATTATAATTTATAATATATAAATAATATATATAGATTATGCTGGGCTGGACCACAGACGGCACGACCCGATTTACCCCTCTAGTAGAGAAAGTAGAGAAGGGAAGGATATAAAAACCTTTACAAATCTTCTATAGGTTTTTTACCTTTTCCTTCAAAGTTCAAACCAAATGGTGGTGAGAGAGGGAGATTAAAACCACATCTATTTTGAGACTACTCAGTTTAAGTATCAACGGAGCCATCATTCACTTGGTATCCTAGTAAAAAAATGGTATATATTGTTTTTTACCCTCGTGGCAAGTGAAAGATGGTTTATTGAAATATAAAGTGTGACATTTGAGTACTTTAACTTCTAGAAATAGACATTCAAGGCTAGTGACGTTAATCAGCTTGAGCCTGAACCGGCCTAGCCTAGAATTTTACACAGGTCATGCTTGGATTTTCAGTCATCGGGCTCAAGAAGTCGGGCTTTTTACTTTTCGGGTCGGGCTCAGGCCTAGCCCTTAGGTAGCTCGAACCCAGCCCAAGTATATACATTTATACATACATATGTGTATATATATAAATATTGCATACATATTTACATATAAATACATACAAATTTATATATATAACATTTGTATACATATTTTGCATACACATTTACATATGTGTACATAAATATATGTATAATATTTGCATAAATATATATATGTATAATTTTAGAGTGGATTCATTAACTAACCCGAACCCAGCCCGGGCCCGAGCCCAACCCGAATGCGTCAAACTACAATGCGAGATAGGCTCAGGTTGGGAAAATCAAGCTTGGGCCTTAAGCCCAAGTTTTAGGGCCAGGCATGGATTGACCATAAACCCAACCAACCTGCCCGACTTGCACCCTAATAGCTATTACTACAACAAAAAGGCAACTTCTTTTGTTCTATTTTATTATTATTAATCACCAGGTTTCTATTTTTATTACTATTAATCATTGGGTTTATCATAAATACTTACGGAAAAAAAAAAGGTAATTTTGGGTTTTTGAAATGTTTTAAGTCACACGTGACTTCACACAATGCAAATAATTGATGGAATACTAGTGATTGGACATGAATGTCTATTTTTGAGAGTTCAAGGTATTGAAGTGTCACGTTTAAAAGTTTAAGGTACTTGTTTGCCACTAGACCTGTTTATGGATCAGGCTTTGGGCTTAACTTACACAATGTCAGGCTCGGATTTTGGGTTGAGCCCTATTCAAATTTTGGCAAAAGCCAAGCCCGAGCACAACTCATGAACAGGTCTATTTGCCACTACCCCTAAGTAGACCTGTTCATGGGTCGGGTGGCCCGACAAGCCGGCCTAGCCCCTGGACGGGCTTGAACAGGTATATGGGCCCTCGGGCCAAAAAGCCCGGCCCACAATAAATTTGAGCCGGGCTCGGGATTTGCCAAAATAGCCCAACCCGATCTATAATTAAACCTAAGTAAAAACCCTAGTAAGTTCAAGTACCCCTCTTTTTTTCACTTCTTTGTCTCTTTCCCTTCTTTTTTCCAGTCGAACCCTTCTTCTCCAATCTCCACATCCTCCACACTCCACAGTTCTCATCCTCACACTCTCAGGCAGTCACAACCGGCAAGGCGGCAAACGTTCACCGGCGCAACAACTCCGGCGGCGGCGACGAGCTTTCTCTCTCTCTCAGACGCGAACTGATCTTTGTCAAAATCGCAGGTCAAGCTCGCAGCTCACAGACCATAGTCACCAACTCACCGCGAACTCTCCGGCAAATACAATCATCGGCGGCGGCGGTGAGTTCTCTTTACCACTTTATTCTATTACAATGTTTAGTCACTGGCAGAAAAAAATCCGATGGTAAGCATGTTTGTCTTCTTCCACTTGTTAAACGAGAAAGACAGAGAAACAACACTAATCAGTTATCAAAAAAGCAAGCCAATCTGCTCTATTGAAGCAAGAAACATGTAAAATCGCAGGTCAGGCTTTTATTAGGTCGGGCTTCGGGCTTTTTATCATGGTCGGGCTCGGGCCCAAGTTGTAGGCCCGTTGGTCGGGTCGGGCTTGGGCTCGGGCCTAACATTTTTCCGTTAATGAAGAGTAAAAGCCTGGCCCGAGCCCGAGCCCGGCCCGGCCCATGAACAGGTCTACCCCTAAGGTATAGGATACCTATCTTTAATTCAAGGTTTTAAAAATCAACTCGGAACCGGAACCATTCTAGCCACTGGTTTTTGGGTTGATGGTTCGACCATCTGGTTCAAACGGATGTCATGTTCCAATGAACAATAAAAAAGGCCAAAACTATTGAACGGATCGGCGATTCAACCACCCGGGTTAGTATGACGTTGACCAATTCAACGATTTTTTACCAGAAACCGAATTTGAGGTAAAACAGAATTGATTTCCTAGATGGTTCTCGGGCCAAACGGTTTGACTGTCCAGATCAATAGTGATTCGAAAAGATTGCTTTAATTTACCCAAATGTAAATAAAGTTATTAATTATTAAAAAACAAATCAATTGTTGAATTATCTATATCTATAAAGCAAATGTTTGCCTTCATTTTGACGTAGGTCATAAAAACCTGCCGTATTTCCGACCGAGGGRTAACTCTCCGAGTTGGGCTGGTTGCTCAATCTGTCATTACAAAGGCCCCTTGTATTATAGGGTATGTGACAAAGACCCTCCAAATACCCCCCCTGTACTTTGGTCTTAGAGAAAGCCCCTCTCTGTTAGCGTTTCGTCAATTGACTCAAAAAAAGATCGTTTAAAATTTTCTAAATTCCTAAATTGCCCTTTCTTTATTTATTATTAGAAGGGTGAGAAGAAATAACCCATATACTTGTAAAAATCCGGTAACACTGTTGATTGCTAGATCTTGAACAATGGTTTGGGATACAGTAGAAGGGGGAGAAGAGAGAGGGAGAGGGAGAAGGAGGAGAAATGTCGCCGAGTGCTTTTTTGACTGTAATTCATTTATCATGCAAAACCATGATTTTCTCGGATACCAGATATACTGGGAGAGCAGATCAGAAGACCTCTTTATAGAAGATATATAGGGGCGAAATGCTTGACGAATTTCAGAAATAGCACACGTAACCACTGGAATCACAGCATAGATACGAGCCTTTTCGCGTCGAAGCAATCGATTCATACCTGGCTCTTCTCATTTGTTAAATCTATTGGTTTCAAAGGATAGGACATTAAACCACTTTCTTTAGCTGACGGGCTCCAATCGTTTTTCTCCATTGATGACCATGAGCCTCTGCACCAAAGGTTAGTGAGATAGTCTAGTTAGAGGACTCCCACAAAAGTATTTAAAAAGGAAAATGAAATAAAAAGCATCTTCAAATGATATGGGAGCAATCGCCATTCATTTTTCTTAATCTTCTAGGTGGTGAATATACGAAATACAAATTCCATATATATTCTGTGTATAACCTTCAACTTTATTCAAGTATCAAACATTATCACTGAACACTTATTGATCTTCATGATTTATATTCCAAAGCTTCACTTGGGCGACAGAGGGGTGAGTGCCATGACAGATCGATCTCAACTCAGTTTAATGTGAGGGATATATACAAGTATAAGGAAGTTCTGACGTATTAATCCCATTCAGGAAGATGCCAACGCCGCTACTGAAGCTGCACCGGTAGAACACTGAGAGATCCGAACCTGAGCAGAAGGCAGCTGCTTGGTGCTTCTGGGGTCCCGCTATGTTTTTGAACGTCATATCCCGAACAATAAACCCATTGTCGGTGATCCCTGAAGATGGAAGAAACTTTAA